CATTCTGCTGAGATAAAATAACTTGGGGGAAGTTGCTGGGTGCTGGAGGCCAAGGGCTGGGTAACCTGCAGTAACAACACAGTTTTCTCCTCTGTCTTTCTTGGCATGCTGAACCTGTCAGAAAAAAAAACATCAGACAAAGCAAAGAACAAATTTTAGGGTTTTTTTTTAGTCAGGTGTATTTTTATCCATTTATTTAGCTTTCTTTTGAAAGCTGTCTCAAAGATTTTACGGAAGTTTTATTGCTGAACCTGTCAGAAAAAAACATCAGACAAAGCAAAGAACAAATTTTAGGGTTTTTTTTTAGTCGGGTGTATTTTTATCCATTTGTTTAGCTTTTGAAAGCTGTCTGAAAGATTTTAGGCAAGTTTTATAGTGGTTGGATATTTGTTAGGTTAAGTTAAGCTGAAGTTTCTTCTGTTCTTGAATTGCAGTCTCAGAAACAGAATATTGATATCAACAGACAAGCCAAGTTTGCTGCCACTCCTTCGTTTGCTTTGTTTGTAAATTTGAAAAATGTAGTCTGTAAAATAGGAGAAGATGCTGAAGTCCTGATGTCTCTGTATGATCCACTGGAATCAAAATTTATCAGGTTAGTGTACTCTGGAGGATACCCCCTAATCTGTGCTTACTCAGTTACAGTAGTGAGGTGGATTTGGAGGCTGAAAGGGCTTAGAAAAGTCAGATTTCTGTGAAAGGCATAGGGGCATCTGCAGCAGCATTTCATTGTCCTGTGCAGCATGGCATCAGGCAGTGCCTTCACCTTGGTGGGTTTTGGGGTCATGATGTTCCTCCTCATGCCTGTGGTTCCCCAAGTGCAGAGCTTAGCTGGGCTGTGAACACACGTGCAGGGCTCCGTGCCCTCCTTTAGCAGCAGCCTTGGCACTGACCTGAAAGTTCCATTTCTACATCCCCCATTTCCTTTAAAGGAATCCTTACACTTTGTAAGGCAAGAAGTAGGAGTAAGCAAGTTGTGAGACAGCTGAGGAGTTGCTTGCTTTTTATAAATGATAGACACAAAGGGAAATTCCAGCTCTCCCCCAAGTTCTTTGTGTAGGGTAAGTAGATTGGGTATAAAATACTCTTCTGTAAATTCAGAAGTTGATGTTATCCTTATACTTCAAGGAAGCCATTGAAACAAAGTCCTCAAAATGTTGTTCTTTCAGTGAGAACTACTTGGTGCGGTGGTCAAGCTGTGGACTCCCCAAAGACATAGACAGATTGCATAACCTCCGGGCAGTGTTCACTGTAAGTGTCTGCTTCCTTCAGCTGGGGCATGGCCAAGCAGTTGTTTCATAGCTTGTGAATACCTGAGGAATGGAATGAGCTGCATGCAGACAGTGTGGAGTTACCTCTGCAGTTTACCTCCTGGTGAAAGCTCACGAGATGTTTAAGTGCCTACTAAAAAAATTCTCAACACTTGGCTAGAACCAAAGGTGCTCTTTGAAGTTTTAATTTGCTAGAAATCGTTTGGCCTCCTAAGCAATAATTGAGACAGAAGTCAAGATGTTTAAGTGCTGTTACAAAAGCTCCTTTTCTCCTAGAACTGTTTCCTCTGGTGCTAGAGGCTTGCACGGCGAAGGCAAATTTAAGCAGCAAGCCTTCTGCCTACTAAAATAGAACTTGGAATTCAATTATTACAAAATAACCTCTAGAAAATACTATTTCTAGGACCTGGGCAGCAAAGACCTGAAAAGAGAGAAGATCAGTTTTGTCTGTCAGATTGTACGAGTGGGCAGAATGGAGCTGAGGGACAACAACACCAGGAAACTGACCTCGGGGCTGCGGCGACCTTTTGGAGTAGCAGGTAACTCTGGGTGGACCACATGAGATTCTCCAGTAGAAAGTTGGGTGTATGAAACTCTGTGGGGTTGTGTGAACTCAGAGTTGTTCCAGATATCATCAGAATGATTGCTGTATTGTAGAGTTGACTGTAGCTGCCAGGGTTTGTTAGCTACAGATGCCAGAGGGAATTTGCCACCTATTGGACAACTCTCAGATGAGGATGTTGATAATTTCACCTCTCTTCAGAATCACCTTCCCTTCCATGCACTCAGGGTGTTCTCTCAGCTCCCCTCTCCCCATGCTGATCACTTAATTCAGTACACTCTGTTTTTGTTTTCAGTAATGGATGTTACTGACATAATCAATGGAAAAGTTGATGATGAGGACAAACAGCACTTCATCCCCTTTCAACCGTAAGTGGGGAATGGTTTAAAGGATAAGTGGAAGGATTAAGATTTTAACTTTCATTGAAAAAACCCAAAACACTTAAAAATTCTCACTGGAAGCAGTGTTGTGTGGAAATTCTGAAGTTAATTTATGTGACACTTCATCGTAACAATATTTACTAATATTTCTTGATAATTTCCTATTCTAGTAGTAGTATCCATCAAAACTTTAGAATTTCATATTTATTCTTAATTTTAAGTCTTGACTTTAAAGCATGTGTTCCCATTTTGCAGCACTATTTTCTTTTCATTTAGAGATGTCAGGGTGCTGATGTGCAAGAGGTAAAATGCTTAAAATAAGTGAATTGCTGGTTTAGTTCTGCCTGAGATTGATAAAGACCAGCAGTGTTACCAGCATCCACTGCAGGTGATTTCTGTAAAATTAATAAATTATAATATTTATACTTTTTTTTTGTGGTACATGTAATTTTCTAGTAGGGGCTACAGTAGTACAAACAAAATTTGGGCCTGAGATTGATAAAGACCAGCAGTGTTGCCAGCATCCACTGCAGGTGCTTTCTGTAAAATTAAGTAAATTATAATATTTATACTTTTTTTTGTGGTACATGTTATTTTGTAGTAGGGGCTACAGTAATACAAACAAAATTTGGAATCTGAAGGGTGGCTTGAAATACCACCTGTAATATCTTCTCAGAATTCAGCTGACATGAGAATTTAACCAGAAAGCTGAGGTCTTTTGCTTGGATGGTAGGGGAGAGGATCTGTCTGCTGCACATACCCCTGGCTGGCTCACAGAATCAAGGAGCCCAGTCTGCAGCATGGACCTGGGCTTGCTTAGAAAGGTTGAGAGAGTTGGGGTTGTTCAGCCTGGAGAGGAGAAGGCTTCAGGGAGACCTTCTTGCAGGCTTCGAGGACTTCAAGGAGCCTGTCAGATGGATGGGGATGGACTTTTTAACAGGGCCTGTTGTGACAGGAACAAGGGAGGATGTTTTTTTACTAAGAGAGGGGAGATTTAGACTAGAGAGGAGGAAGAAATTTTTTACTCTGAGGGGGTTGAGCCCCTGGCCCAGGCTGCCCAGAGAGGTGGTCGCTGCCCCATCCCTGGCACCATCCCAGGTGAGGTTGGCCGGGGCTCTGAGCACCCTGCTCTAGCTGGGGATGTCCCTGTCCCTGCAGGGGGTTGGACCAGATGACCTTGAAAGGTCCCTTCCAACCCAAAGCATTCTGTGATTCTGTTCTAGGACTTAGAATGGATAAGATCCTCTATTGGAGACAGTGACTCTAAGGTGGCTGACATGGAGTTTACTATTTTACAATAATAGTAAACCAATAATTGGTGTCCTTTAAAGTACAGACGTATGATTTTGATGTAATAGCAAATATCAGTTTTGACTTGAAGCCACAAAATCATATTAAGAAATATTGTTCTAATATCCTGAATATTTGTCACAGTGTGCCAAGAAAGTGTTTTTAGGAGTAAAAGCTGATTAACAAAAGAGAATGTGGCAAATTCTGGTCCATCTATAGTTGCTAAGTGTTATTTTTTTCTTCCATGACTTGGGGAAAGGTAGGAGAAATAAGACAAATGTACATAAAATATGAATGCTGAGTTTTCCCACTGTGTGAATTGTTAGGCTGCCATCTGTTCCAAAAGGCAAATCAGAGTTCTGTTAGCTGAACTCCTTGATTAATGCACTAATGGATATACAGAGGGTTTTTTAATAATTGCTTTAAATGATGTAACCTCAAATGACTTTTATTTTGGGAAACTGGCTCAATTTTGGGAGCCCTTGTGGTTTCCAGGTGTAGGGCTGCAGGGAGCTGAGCGGGTGCACACCTCCTGTGGAAGGACTTTGTGTTGCTTAGAGTGGTGTAGAGGGTGTGAATGGGAAAATCAGAAATACAACTCCATTTTTCAAGGGAAGAGGCTTTTTTCTTTGGGAGGAGTGTGTTCGTGATGTGTTTATTGTGTGGTAAACAATGGCAAGTTTATTTTTTAGTGAGTGTGGAAGTACGCAACGAAAATGAATCTTTGTGTATCAAAGTGGATGCTAATGGAACATCTAGTTTTCTGCTCCATTAACACTGATTTATTTTTTCTGTGTATACAAATCAGCTTTTTGAAAAGATGTACAATATGATTTATTTATTTTTTTCCCCCTACCAAATTAAAACATTCTTCTGAAAGAGTGTATTCCAAAGAATATGAGTAATGTGAGAGCACACAATGAATACTGCTGTCATGATTTCCAACGTAGACTTAGGCTGTATATATGAGCCACATTTTTCTTCTCATTCCATGCTTTGCTTCTGTTGTACCACATGCAATTCTGTTTCCAGTCTTTGTTTGTTTGTAGTCACTCCCTAGCCACCAACACAATGGCTGTCAAAAGCACTTGGCAAGATGACTTAAATGACACTTCACGCTGCTGTTTGTTTATAGTTTCCATCTTTTCATTTATCCATCAAGTGTTAACAGAATGTTTGAGATGATCTACTTTGCTTCTGTGCCATATCTGTGAGGTTAACAGCAGCTTTTCCTTCAGACCATACGCACTGCTGCTTAACCTGTAGGCTGAAGTGGCCCTGGAGGTTTTGCAGGGCCAGCCTGCTGTAGATGTTAAAAAAACCTGCCTGTGCAGGTTTTCAGTGCTTCACAGGGGATGCTGAGGTGGGAGCTGATCCTCCTGTCCTCACAGAGTGTTCCTGGGGCTCATGCATGTCCCTGAAGGGAGAAGCAACAACGTAGGTGTGCTGGACTTCTCTGCGGTAGATCAACGTTCTTCTGATTAATGATCTTCCTCTGTCTTTCTTGTTACCTTTCCTGTCCTTTTGTCTTGCGTTGACTAATAAATACTCTGTCACAACTATGATATGATCTTTTGTGTTCCCTTGTTACTGTGACTTCTGGTTTTCTGTGACCCTTTGTTTCCTGGTGTTGGTCGTCATGTGCATCCTCCAGGCTAGCGTTGGATGACGCCATTCGACACAAGCAGCTGAACATATCATCCCGTTTTTCACCCAGGGTGGCAGGGGAGAATGATTTCCTTCAGACTGTTATAAACAAAGTGATTGCTGCTAAAGAAGTTAACCACAAGGGTCAGGGTAGGTACTGTTCTTTCTCTACTCCACTCTCCCCAGAACTCCTCGTCGCCTCCTTTGCCACGGGGGATGGGTTCAGCTTTGGAATCGAGGGTGTGGGATTTTGCCTTCACTTGCTCACTGCTCTTTGGTGGTAGAAAGTGTGTGCATGGTTTGTTCCCCCTCTTCCCAATCCTTCAGGGCTGGTTCTGCTTGTCCCAGCCCCTTGTGAGCTTTCCATGAATTTCTCTGCCCTGCCCGTGGCTTGGACATCTTTGTAGCTTTGATTGGAAGTGACTCGTGGAGTCATCTCATGCCCTTGAGCTGGGGACTTTGGCCTCCTCATGGAAGGAATATCCTCTTCCCTTGCTTCCTTTGTCTTATTCTTCCTCTTGGCAGCTGCTCTTGCAGCACTGGGTGCCCTCTCAAGACGAGCAGGGTGTTGCTCCTGGCAGCACTGCACCCAGAGCTCGGAGGTGGTGAGGATGGAGCTGGAGCTCCATGAGGATGGAGCCCCACTGACACCTTCTCTTAGGGGCTGCTCCTGTCACTGCCCATAACTATGCACACCAACCAGTGGAGACTCTGCTGATGTGAAACTGAGTCAGCATCCAAGGTTTGGGTTGTTACTTGTGTGGGTATTCAACACTTCATGACCCTGATGTGCCTCCAGGTTAGTGAGTTGTGTGATGACTCAGTTACCACTGTCCTGACTTCAGTATTTTGGGGGAGGCTGGATTAATATGATGTTATGGAGGCCAATGTGGAGTTTCCACCCAACAGTGTGTGTGAATATCCATATCACTTGCAGAAAGCATTTGAACAGCAGCCCTGAGGAAAATTATACACCTTTTTTTGCCCATTTTTATTAATAGCAAATCTCTAAATAAATTTTTTACTATTATCTGTTATCTAAAGAGGAAAAATGAGATCTGCTTTTCTCCCCTCTTTTCACCTGCGGGCAGAATGTATTGGAAAGGAGGAAACTTTTCAGCTTCTGCTTCATTTCAGATTCTTGCCCTCAGAAAGGCTCCAGAGCAAGCAGAAAAGGATTAAGAGTTGGTGCTTAGCCAGCCAGTGTAGGTACAGTTACTGTTTAATGAAATAGCAGCTGCTAGAACCAGCCCTGGCAACAAGTCAGCATCTAGCCTGTTAGGAGAGACTTTAATAGAAAGCAGAGCAAGCTGCCAAATCCATACAAAACGAATCTACAGTTAATTGTGTGTGTAACAGGATAACCCACAATTTGGTTTAGAGACTATTTTTGGGGGTATTTTTCGTAGATATTAATTTTAGGATTTTCTTCTGCAAATTGCTGCTGTAATTATTTCATGCTTAAAATTGATTGCCACTTTACCAAGCGTTAAGATTTCTTGGGGGTTGTTTTTGGGCTTTTTTTTTTACTTTTGCTATCTTTCTTTTTCCTATAACAAATGTGTCTGATGTTAGTTGGCAAGCAGTAGCTTTTCAGTGGCTTCTTCTGCTACTGAAGAGGAAAATGTCAGCTGCGTAAAGCTGATGCTGTAGATTTCTTTGTGCTCAGTGCAGTAAAAACAACCTACGGGGGTGGTGGTGGTGATGAATCAATTCAGGGTATGTATCTGCTGCTGGGACAGTCTTTGTTGGCATCTCAGTATTGGTTGGTTGTAATACTGAAGGGTTTTTTTCCATTCAAATCAGCTTTGCCCATTCTTTCTTCGGCGGGAATATAAACAGATCATTAGAAAGAACTTCTGAAAGTTCAAAGGATAGATAAAAGCTTGAGGCAGTTCTGCTAATGGCTTCATAACTTTATTTCCACAAGACCTTTTGTGGAAGAGTTCAGCTCTGTGAGGAGGAGTAGGACCAGCTGATGATGTATGGTCTTGCTGACTTGTTTTTCTTCTGAATAGAGACCTGTTAACTTGAAATTTTTTAGACTGTAAATAAAATTCTTGGCTCTAGTAAGCCCATGTGAGGGAAGCTACTTGAGTCTGGTTTTGAACTCCTCCTCACCAAGACCTTTTGTAAACGAAGAGCAGTTACTTGAATAGATGCTCTTACACTTCAGAACGTGTGAAAATAAATCTTTAACTAGAAAAAAAAAACCTCACCAATTTAATAATTTGTGGTTTTCACACAACAGGTTTGTGGGTGACTTTGAAACTTCTTCCAGGAGACATTCATCAGATTAGGAAAGAGTTTCCACACTTGGTGGATAGGTCAACAGCCGTGGCTCGGAAAATGGGCTTTCCTGAGATCATTATGCCTGGTGAGCCAAATGAATGCTGCTGTCTTATATTTTAGCCTTCTTTAGATATCTGTGTGTATGGAAGCTTTGGGGGTGGGGGAGGATGAATTTGAGGTATGGAAAACATTAGGAACAATGGAACATCAAAAGTTTTCATCTCATTTCAAATAAATGTAAAATACCAACTTAATACCTGCCATGTGTGCTGCATCAATAAATAAATCTAACCCCCAAAAAAAGAGATATCACAGTGAAATTCTCTTTTCCCAGCAAAGACAAACACACATACAAAGTCTGTGCTTTATATTTTCTCTCTAACAAGGGCATATGTAAAACTTGGGTCTCCTGTGATTGAATCCAAACCAGAGAGATTTTTTTCAGAAGAACCAGCTTGCTGTAAAGATGTGCAGGTCTCTTGGGCTTGTGCTAGATTTGGGTAATGTATTTGAAAGAAAGCCACACTGCCTTTTTTAACACATATATTCCGTGGATATATTCTGGTGTTTACAAAACAAAGACCCAAATGTGGTGCTTCTCAAAATAAAAATTACCATAAGCAACAGACTACAGAAGAAAATATGCCCTGTCCTTTTCAGATGGATGGGCTCTGGGGGGTCCACTGGATATTTTCAGCACCCATCTCAGTGGCAGCTCTCCCTGTGGATGCTAACAGGGTGTTTCTCAGGTGTTCTACTGTATATCCAGTGTGGTGAAAGTGCCTCAGTCTGTTGTGGTCTTATGTTGGCACATAAACCATCTGCCTCATGAAATGTTTGGAAAACTGCTGTTTCCTGAGTTCATCTCCAAAATTAGGTTGTAGTGGAAGAGCATTTTAAGACAAAGCAAATACAGCCCTCCCCTGCAACCCCCAAGCCACCAAAACCATCAAACAGCTTCCTGATAGGTTCATCAGACCTATGTAGGCAGTTAAATATTTTTTTGAATTGCAAAATATCTGCATATGGGATAAATTAATGACTGTTGAAACTCATCTGTTCAAATTAATAACGAAAGAAGTTGTGTAGACAAAAAGTCCAACAAAACCAACCAACCCCAAACCCTAAGAGTGGAACTGAGGTGTTTTTAAAGTTTTTTCTTGGTACAAGAAGGATATTAAGGTGCTGGAGTGTCCAAAGAAGGGCAGTGAAGCTGGGGAAGGGTCTGGCGGGTTTAGTGGTGACCTGGCAGTGCTGACTTAGCAGTCAGACTTGATCATAGAATCATAGAATCCTTCAGGTTGTAGTGGTGACCTGGCAGTGCTGACTTAGCAGTCAGACTTGATCTTGAAGGTCTCTTCCAACTGAAACAATTCCATAATATGATATTCTTTCAGTCTGGAAATAACATTTGATGTTTTGTTGGTTTGTTAGATTCCACTTGCTTCACTGTCTGTTAGCTCAGACTTCAGAAGTCTTAGCACAATGGGAGCTCAGTGGCTGTTTTCAGTAGTACTGGTGTGGGATGTTCAAGATACCTTGGCTTGGAGATGTTGCCTTGTGTCTGGATGGTTGCTGCTACTCAATTGGGTGGTCATGGTTTCTATGTATTTGTGGTTTCACACATCAATAGGGGTACTGTGAAAATGGCTGAGAGCTTTGTCCTTGGCTTTTCCTTCCAGGGGATGTTCGGAATGACATCTACGTAACCTTGGTGCAGGGAGATTTTGACAAGGGCAGTAAAACAACAGCAAAGAACGTGGAAGTGACAGTATCTGTGTATGATGAAGATGGCAAAAGATTAGAGGTATTGAAGTATTTAACGTCTGGTGTTTTGATTTTGATATGTTTAAGCCTTTTGAACATCTATATAGTTTTCAACTAACATCCTTCTGTACAACAAAACTTTGTCCTTTGTCCTAACTCAATACATCTTGTCAGTGCATGCACTTTGATACTGGTTTTATGAGAAACTCTGAGCATGAGCCATTCTGTCTTATTTTAACCTACTTCACTGATGGGTTTTGGTTATTTGAAGGAAAAAATGGGAGTTTAAGATGGACATGAACATTTTTCTCTTCTGTTTGTGTTTTCAAGAGCGTTATTTTTCCTGGTGCTGGTGATGAAGCCATCTCAGAGTACAAGTCAGTAATATATTACCAAGTGAAGCAGCCTCGCTGGTTTGAGACTGTAAAGGTATCTAAACTGCCACAGTGCCTTCCTCTCTGGGGGTTAATATGCAATCAATAGAGGCTGCAGGGGAAAGCCTTGAGAAACAAAGCTAGGGAAATTCAATGCTTGTGAGGGTGTTTAGCAGGACAAAAAGAACAGCTCAGCTAAGGAGGGGTTTCAGAGGCTGCTGGAAAATAGATTGGATTTGTATTGCATGCAATAACTTTTATTTCATCCTTTTGGTTGAGACAACTGTTATAGGGACACTCCAACATCTGCTTATGAAGGGTTCACACTTCTGTGAAGCTGATGTAGAGAAAGAGGATATTAAGGTTAAAACATAATTGCCATGGTGTTGGACTCATCAGTGTTTTGGGATCTGGCGGGTTGTGCTTTGAGCTTGCTGAATTTGCTTGGGTAATATCAAAACTTGACATTTAAGCTAAAATGTTATTACAGAGGAGGCTGGGGTTAGCTTTATAAAATAGCTTCTGTCTATGAAGGGTTCACACTTCTGTGAAGCTGATGTAGAGAAAGAGGATATTAAGGTTAAAACATAATTGCCATGGTGTTGGACTCATCAGTGTTTTGGGATCTGGTGGGTTGTGCTTTGAGCTTGCTGAATTTGCTTGGGTAATATCAAAACTTGACATTTAAGCTAAAATGTTATAAAGCTAACCCCAGCCTCCTCTGTAATAAAATATCTTCTGTCTAGCTGTTGTCAGTGGGAGCAGCAGATGTGTACTGAGAAGGGACTGAAAGCTGCTCTCTACACTGCTGTATGAAGTCCAAAGCTGCTCTTGGATCTGTAGGCAGAGAGTGGCTGCCAGGGGATGGCAGAAACCTCGACTGGTGTTGGGGAGCCTAAATGGGGGTGTGATTAAAAAATACACTGGCTCTGGGAAAAATTCTGGGGGAGAAGAGCATTGGTTACATCTCTGCCCATTGCTTACATCGTGTGGATCAGAGATACACTAGTAGTACAAGTAAATGGGTAATTAAGAGTTTTTTCTTTGCTGCTGTTGATAATGGAGTTCAACTCTACCAGCCCAACTCAAGAGGGACTCATTCCTGAGCTGGAGGGAGTGGAAGGGGGGGAGGTTTGGGGTTACAGCCCAACATCTGAATTTGCAGATCTTATCAGGTAGCTGAACAGGCTCCCTTAGTTCCTTCTCTCTACCTTGGTGTAAGAATTGGCACCTCAGTCTTGGTGCTAGGTTTCCATGAAGAATCTGTGACCTTTCGATGCCTTCTATGGCCAAATGAAACTGGTATTTGGCATGAACCTTTCTAAAAGCAGTAAGCGTGTCGTTGCAAGATGTCTAGATGGATTTGGTAGCAGTGCAGTGTTGGAAGGTGCTGCACTGACTTCTCTTTCTCTGTCCTCTCCCCACACGTGCAGGTTGCAATCCCCATTGAAGATGTGAACCGCAGCCACTTACGCTTCACGTTCCGCCACAGGTCATCACAGGACTGTGAGTAGCAACTCAGCCTTTCCATTATGGTTCTTGGCAGTGTCTGGTGCCAAAATCTTCTGAAACAGGCATAATATTCCTCATCTTAATTGACTGTTGTCATCACTTTTACTGTGGGGAATGTAAAAAGGGCTTACAGGAAGCTTAGCATCAGGAATTGAAGATGTAGCTATTCAGAAACTTTGGTTTCTGGTTCTCAGAATGACTTGTGGGTTTTTTTTAAGTGATTTTGGGTCTAAAAGATACTTGAGAGCTTGTGGTTGTCCTCAACTTCAATGTAATGTTGCTGGCAGATGAGATGCTTTGAGCTGTTGGTCAGATGGAGACACTAGACATCTTCCATCTGTCAGCAGTTGCTTTGTAGGGAAGTTTGGGGATTTGCCTTGGTTGTGATGATGTTCATTCCATGTAGTGGTTACAGGGGCTGGCTCTCTTGGCAGGAAAACCTTTTCAAATCTAGACAAAAGCATCAACCAGCTCATGTCCACTTTTAGTATTTACAGTGGTCTCCATGTCTCCATGTCTGTGTAACGTCCTCAGAGTGGTTATTTAACTGAAGCTGTATATTTTGTAAATAGATCATTAATAAAAGCTTTACTTAGAGAATGATGCTTGTTAATGTAAAGAATGTGCCAAAAAAATCAATGTTATTCCTGTCAGAATTTGATTCTGCACTGCAAATTGAGTGAAAAATATTTTTAGGATGATTCAAATTTAGGTTGGCCATGGTTTAAATATTAGGGGCCATGACTTCAGGGCTGTGGGGCTTTCTCACAGCCTCCCTGCAATCAGTCTCAGGTTGATTACACTTTCCTTTTGGTTTTATTTCCTGACTTTGTGATTTCTGCTTGCCCTGTTGCTTTGCTTTTACTTCATCTTTAATAATGGATGTTTTGAACAATGGGAGCAAACTGCTCTCTTGTTGGTTGTAGAGTGGGTCAGCTCTCAAACATGGGCACTTTGTGGTTATGGATCCAGTTCCTGTTTTATTTCTAATGTTTCACCTGCAAATGGTGGAGCCCTGCTGAGATTCTCAATGCTGGCCTTCAAATCTTTATTCTAGGTAGCAAACACTTCTATTCTTCTAACTCCTAATACCTGAACCTTTATAAATGCATCAATTTTCTGATTTGTGTTTTGAAAGCTGCCTTAATCCAGCTTTCTAAAAGAACAGACAGAATATACCAATATTAAGCATCTAGTTCCTGTTGATGTAGTCAGATGACTATGCATTTATTCTGCATTTTTTGGTTCTATCTTGCATTTAGAAGACATCTAATTTCTTAGAATGATAGCATGGTTTGGGTTGGAAGGGATCTTAAAGATCATCTAGTTCCAGCTCCCATGGGCAGGGACACCTCCCACTAGAGCAGGTTGCTCAGAGCCCCATCCAGCCTGGTCCTGAACACCTCCAGGGGTGCAGGTGTCTCCATGACCATTGACCACATTAGGATCACTGTCTTGTCCACCTGAGAGTCTTTGCTATGGTCATTCATTTACATGTTATCCATGCTTTTTGAGTTTTAGGTGGACTGTCTATTTAAGTATCAGTTACTTACATTGTGCTTTTGTTTTTTTGTTGCAGCCAAAGATAAATCTGAGAAGATATTTGCCCTAGCATTTGTGAAGCTCATGAGATATGATGGAACAACTCTGAGAGATGGAGAACATGACCTTATAGTTTACAAGGTAGACTTTTGAGATGCTTCAGTTTTTCCACAGTAATTCAGCTGGCTGGATTTTAGGGAATTGCTGTTACTGACTTGCACAGAAAAAGTGTTACAGGCTATTCTGTTTGATCAAATGACTAAATATCAGGTACTGTGCAATTTGTGTGTGGCAGATTGATTGTTAAACCTTGAATATGTTTTGCTGGGGATGTTTTAATTTCAAAGACACGTGTTATTGAGTTTTATGTGGGTTTTCATGGCTGGGAAAAGTTACTTTTATAGCCTTTCAAGTATCACATCTTGGCTCTAATCTGTAGACGGTTTATTTTTAAATTACTGTTGTTGAACCATTGGATAGCTCAGATTCTGGAGCAAACCTAATTAAATCTGGTGTAAATAACATTTATCACTAAGGTTTTTTTACTAGATACTTTCAAAATGTTTCGTGTTGTATTTAAAACCCCACTGCAGGCAGAAGCAAAGAAGCTGGAGGATGCCTCAACATATTTAAGTTTGCCCTCCACTAAAATAGAACTGGAGGAAAAAGGCCACTCTGCAACAGGGAAGAGCATGCAAAACCTTGGAAGCTGCACCATCAGCAAAGACTCTTTCCAGATTTCTACTCTAGTTTGTTCAACAAAACTTACCCAGAATGGTAAGTTCATAGAAATGCTGGAGTTTTTGTTCCTCATGGCAGAACAGTCAGTACATATGACCCCACTCCAGCCTTCTCCACCCTCCCTTCCTCTCTGACACATAGTCTTGGATTAAATGGTCTGGATGCAGCAAAAGCATTTACTGAATGTGTTATCCAGCCCTCTTCTCTGCCTGTGGGCTTTGCTTTCCAGTATGTTTCTAAGAAAAGGGAAGAATCCTGAGTTAAATGGAAAGAGGAATATTGTTTGCTGTATAACTGAGACTTTTATACTGAGGTACACTGGAAACAGCCTCTGTGGCATTTCACTTCTCTGTGGGTATGAACAACAGCACTAAGGAGAATGAGTTTGCTTTCAAGAGTAGGTAATACCATGGCTCTGCTCCCTGATAAGCTGGTTTGTGATTTCCAAAGTTCAATATCTTATGCCTGAAGAAGACTCTGGTGTTTTCTTGTGTTGGGCAGAAGGGATGTGAGTGTGAGGGTGCTTTGTGTGGAGGTCACTCACGTTCACACACGAGTAGCAGGAACAGAGCTGGCACATTTGATTCCTTTCAAAACTTGCCTCATATATATTTTTCATGTGCATTTGTCAGCACGTGGAAATAATGATTAGATGATCCTGTTAATGATTTCTCCTCTGTCCAAGGGGAAAGTGACTCCTCTGGTACAACTTGGTAGTCAACTCCTAATTTTATTGCGGTGTTTTTTTCAGTGGCATCTCTGTGACAGCACATCCCGAGTGTTTCCTATTCAGAGCACATCAGATGCACTGCAGGCTGGCAGTCTTACAGCCTAAAAGGATGTTCAGCCAGAAAAAAAAATGGGGAAATGATTTGGGAATTTCATAGCAAAGATGGGTTTGTAGCTTGAGGGTGACACAGTGGATTTGGCATTGTGGAGAACGCAGAAACCAGCATCTGGAGTTGAGCTGCTTTGTTTGTGATATGATTAGTTTTATTTCCCTTAGTCTTTCCCAGTGCTTACTAGTAATTAGAAGTATTTCACAGTGATCAATACACTGACATTGCTTCTGCAGAACTATTATTAAAATCAAGACTGAGCCTTGATTCACACTTCACTTACATATAATTCGCTTTGAACTTCTGATCTGTATTTAAATGTTACTGTTAATTATGTTGTCAGTGAAACTTGGAGGAAAAAGTTGCCAAAGCCTTTTCTTTCTGCAAAGTATTTTGACATTATTAAGCGAGATCACCATGAATCTCTAAGCAGTGGGGAAAAGAAACAAGGATTTCATCATTAAATTCCTCCCTCCAGTATCATTTTTCGTCTAAAAATTGGCAGCACTCTTCAGATGAGTTTCTGAAGCTGTCTTAAAGTTCTGTAAAATTGTTGGTTAATGCTCTAACTTTCTGAAAAATAAGTAAAAATCTAAAATTATCCTCATTTGCCAAAATATGCACCCAAACCCAGAATTTTCTCATTTCAGTCATCTGTAGGAGTTGTTTCTTCACCCTAAGTGCCTTAGAATTGACTTTAAGACTTATGTTTATTAATTCTGAATGTATGTTAATAAATCCTGTGCCTCTTTCTGCATTGCACTCCATGTGGCAAACTGTCTTTTTTGTATATGAGCTCTTTAAATACTCACTTGACATATCTATAATCTGTAAGTTATTAATGTTGCTTTTCTGTTAGTAAAAGATGTCCTTAGCATCTGAAAAGTCTCCAAAATAGCAGACTTGGCCACTGGTAAGACTTGAATTCTTTTCTTTGAGAGCAAATAATAGTATGAAGTATCTACTTTGTTAGCATTTGAGCAGTTGTTAGTGATTTGTGGCAGAGTATATTAAACCCAACACATTTCCTGGCCTTGGACCTTGCATTTAATTTTGAAGAGTAGCAAGTTAAGCCAAGGAGAAGGACTGTCTGAAAACAAGTGAGAAAAACAAAACAAAAGAGAACAAAAACCAACCCAGCCTCTTGGGAATCAGTGAGAACATCAGCTCTTGGAGGCATCAGAAGTTGCTGATGATCTTCACCTTGCCCTTTGGCCAGATTCTCCTCCTTTTGCTATCTGAGGCAGAAGAGAATGTTCTTCCTCCCACATGGAACCAGGAATCATTTTGGTTGGAGAAAACTTTTAAGATCATAGAGTCCAACCATTAACCTAATTCTACCAAGTCCACCACTAAACCATATCCCTGAGCACCTCATCTACATGGCTTTTCAGTTCCTCTAGGGATGATGGGGACTCTACCACAGCCTGGGCAGTACATGGCTTTTCAGTTCCTCTAGGGATGGGGGCTCTACCACAGCCTGGGCAGCCAACAACTTGTCAAGGCATGGCCACCCTTTTGGTGAAGAAGTTTTTCCTTATATCCAAGAGGCTGTTTCCTCTTGTCCTATCACTTCTTACTTGGGAGGAGAGACCAACCCCTACCTCACTCAACCCAGGGAGTTGTACAGGATAAGACCTCCTCTGAGCCTCCTTTGCTCCAGGCTCAGAGGAAATGGAGCTTCTCTATTACAACTATGGAATTTAGGAATTGATATGAAAATGCATCAAGCTATAGAACTGTGTGTGAAGTCCTGACTGACATGTGGGGAAATGTATGCACCAGCAGACACCCCAGGTTTGTGGGGTTTTTGGTTTATTTTGGGTTTTATTGGTGTTGTCTTTTTTTTCTTTAAGGTCAGAAGTGAGTCATTTGATTCCATGTATCATGGGATGTCTACTTGAAGTTGATAATGTCTCAATAGGTCTCTGGGATGGGAGATGTTGGGCCTTCTGTTTTTTGGATAGATAGTAAAGGCTGTTTTAAATCTACTCCTGATGCCATGTCCAAGCTGTGTTGATTTTGTTTCCCTTTTCTGTGTAGCCTGTTGAGGTATAACAAACATGTCTTGTTTCTCCCTGCATGGGCAAGAAGTTTTGGTATTCAAGCCTCTTTTTTCCTGTCAGCTAGAACCTGGAAGCTTTCTGCCTGAAGGAGTTAAAACTAGATAATAGACTGTTAGTGATATGGAGTTAAGACTTCAAGGAACTAAGGAGACGTTGGGAGAAATTTTACTTAGTCATTGGAGCACAGTTGGTAATGTGGAAAAAAAACCAAACAATACACAAGACAAATTCAGATGCTACAGTGGTATAAAAATGGTGTAAAACCAGAATTTAAACAGAACAGGCCCTAAAGAGGGGAAAAACAAACACTTATAGTTAAGAGAGAAGATTTCAAAGAACATGTACAGATTTAGAGTGGCAATTATCTGACTTGATTTTGGTGACTGGGCTTTTTGACAAGTTTGGGTGTCTCTAGAGGGAAAGCTTTGCATACACACAGGTCAAGGGAAGTCTGTCACCAGGAAGTTGGACCATTTGCTTCCAATTGGTGGAATAATTCCATAAGATATAGAAGATGTTCCTATGTAGTCAGCATAAAGGACACTAACCCAAATAAAGTTGCTGTTGGTTACTCAACAGGCTAGATGTTCCTTCTGACCCTTGCCATTGAAAATCCTTGTTCTGTTTTGTTTTCTGATCACATAAATTTCACTG